GAAGAAAAACAAGTCTAAGTCGTTAAATAAAATACTACAAAAATGTGGATGCAACACGAAAATAGTACAAAGAGGTTCCGACACCAATTTAAACGTTTCATTTCAATTAAATGAGAAGTTAAATGAAACATGTCGCTGCCAAATAAAGGAATTAGGAAAAGTTGTTCTACAAAATATTTTTTTAAGAAGTTGGTTATCTGCTCAAAATCAAAATTTAACTTAGTTAATTAGTTAGCTAAAATACTACACCGGGGTATCGTACATACGAGTATTTAGAACAAACTACTTGCAAGTATTTATGTATGTAAATCTACTTTTCCGCCTACATTGAATAAAATACAGCAAAATATAACAAATACATCAACTCTTTCAGTTTATGCTAAATAAAATATAAAAACTGGCATTGATATGAAGCCAAAATTATCTATTTCTGCTTTTTTTTTATCCCACTTTCTTGCTTTGCCTAGCAACTGTTTATTTAAATAATCAATTAGGAAGGAGTAGAGGCGTACGCAACTCCATCAAGGAATCTATTTGTTTATCATTTCAGTATTTTTTTATATTAGGAATCTTGTGAATTATAAATCCAGCTTTAGCGCTATACATTTGTCGGTGAAAGACATTAGACTGCAATTCTAAAGAAGTAAAAAGATTAATTACCAAGGCTTAAAAGATTTAACTTATATTTATAACTTTGAGGTTAGTAGGTTTTTTAACTTAAAACCTTTTATAAATATTTAAATAGTTAAATTTATCTGTAATTAAAAAAGAAAATAAATTAATGATTTAAAATAATTTCAACTTTTAACAATTAAATTTAAATAACAACGTAATTAATTCTTAATATTTTTATTAAGCTTTGTACCACGATTGTTTATTAGGAAAAATCCCGTAAACTCTTGTTGCTAATTCATTTTCCTTATTCAACCAACTACTATCAAGTGCAGCTGATTTGCCGCTATTTAAACTCGACAGCGTGGTTGTTGTTGTCAATTCTATACATCCATTTGCTT